TTCTTGCCTGTGGAGTTGAGATTCATGCAGCTGTGTTGTAAACTAGTGCTTTAGGCCTCAGCCTTCTGGATTATTTTTTTCAGGTGCCTACTAATCCATACAGTTGTTCCTTCATGATGGCAGGACGGCAAAATCCCATGCCTCCTATCTTGTGCCGCAGAATAGTGACACGTTCACGTGCGCCACTCAGCTCGTGGTTCTGACAGTACCGTTTGACTTTGCTCTTTGCAGCATGGAGCTGATCCAACAAAGAAGAATCGAGATGGTAACACTCCTCTAGATTTGGTGAAAGAAGGAGACACAGATATCCAGGATTTACTGCGAGGAGATGCTGCCTTGCTGGATGCTGCTAAGAAGGGATGCCTGGCACGAGTGCAGAAGCTATGTACCCAAGAAAATATCAATTGCAGAGACACCCAGGGAAGAAATTCAACACCACTACATCTTGCAGGTGGGTGACTCACCAGGTCTTGAAGGCTTGTATATTTATTACATGGCTACAGAAGTTAATAATCAAAACCAGGATTGGTATAGTAACATTTTCACAGAAAATTGTCCTGTACAGAATACTGTGTCCAGTTTTGGGCTCCCCGATTCAAGAGAGACAGGGACCTACTGGAGAGAGTCTAACAGAGAGCTACGAGGATGATTAAGGGACTTGAACATCTCTCCTGTGAAGAGACACTGAGAGAACTGGGGCTGTTCAGCCTTGAAAGGAGACGGCTGAGAGGGGACCTTATTAATGTATAGAAATATCTGAGGGGTGGGTGTCAAGAGGAAGGAGACAATCTCTTCTCAGTGGTGCCCAGCACTAGAACAAGGAATAAGGGGTTTAAGTTAGAACATAGGAAGTTCCACCTCAACATGAGGAGAAGCTTCTTTCCTGTGAGGGTGACGGAGCCCTGGCACAGGCTGCCCAGAGAGGTTGTGGAGTCTCCTTCTCTAGAGACTTTCAAAACCCACCTGGACGCGTTCCTGTGTGGCTGCCCTAGGGGATCCTACTCTGGCAGGGTGGTTGGACTAGATGATCTCTAGAGGTCCCTTCCAACCCTGAACGTTCTGTGATTCTATGTTAACTATGGCAGCTGGATGTCGGGAGGTAATATGGTTACTAGGAAAGAGGAACTTCTGCAGTCAAAAAACTGCTTTAATTTTTCTGTGCAATAGTTTTTCTTTAATTTAGCTCTCCTAATACATGATTTCTTTACCTGTGCCCTTTCTACAGCTGGTTACAACAATTTGGAAGTAGCTGAATACCTTCTTGAACATGGTGCTGATGTTAATGCCCAGGACAAAGGAGGATTAATCCCCCTACACAATGCAGCATCCTATGGGGTAGGTGCAAGCATTCTTGCCATAAGTAGACCAACAAGGAACTTAAAGTTGTATCCAAAGCCATTATCTGGCAGATCTCTTGCTATGAACTTAGTTCGCTTTTTGATGACAAAAAGTACTTGTTGGGCTAAGTTACTGTTATGAATCCTGTTTTGCAGTCCTACAGATCTAAATAAGACACAGATTTCTGTATGCTGTAGCAATTAAAGGCTGTGGTTTGGAAAGACTGGTAGAACATAACTTTTATGCAGGCAGGCAGATGCATGGCATTGAACAGTGTTAAATTTGGGATGACTATTGAACCAGAAAAGACTTCAGATTGTCGCTGAGAAGAGAACAAGACCAGGGGATCATGTGCAGATGATGACAGGGAAGTGAGGGTCTCTTGCAGCTGATTTCTGATGGGAAGCTGTTGCTGAAGTGTTGAAAGTCTACTGAGTTTGTAGTATAGTTTCCGTCTGGGCAAGCTGTCCACTACAGTGGGGCTGCAGTGGCTGATTCAGACTGTTTTGGATGAGGCAGGCTCTCGTTCCTCCATTTAGGGGAAAGCATCTGTGTGCATACCAGTTGCACGGGTGCTTGATAGATTGCTTATAAGCAGCTGTTAATTGTGGATAAGCTGAGAAAGAAACCTCTTGCAAATAATTGTGCAGGCAGTGCTTGAGAAGCTCCCAGAAATGTGTTTATGGTCAGAGGACATGAAGCTCAAGTAGTGGATTTGATGGGTCTCATGACACGCTTTATCTGTTATTACTTGGCCCTGGCACAAGAGCAGCAAAATCTGTGTGAAGTGATTGCAGTAGAACCATGATTGCTTTTGTCTGAGAGCCAAACGAAATTAAAAGTACAGTGTTTACCTCATTTTTAAGGAGAGTGTGTCAATGAAACTCAGCCTGCTACTACGTCAGCCTGGGATCCCACTGTTGTAAAGAGCAAAAAGCTCCAAGTCCTGCTGCAGGTTTAGACATGAAATTTCTGAAGGTTTAGAAATGCAATGCAGAATTCTTTAGTGATACTGGGTCCCAATAGCAAACAATATTGTTCATCAGCATCTGCCATAAGCATCAAATTTCCAGGATGTTGCTTAGATCTAGAGATGCATTCTATTGCAGAGATTGTGTTGTTTCTTTTCAAGCACAGGAAACCAAAACACACATTTTAAGCAACAGCAAAACATTCCTTACAGGCAGAGGGAAATGTTAGAGCTTGGTTCAAGCTGATTATCACTTCTAAAATCATAATGCAAATCTAATCTGGTTGCCTTAGTTTCTCTCGGAAAAGCTAACGAGGCAGTATTTGGTCATTTTTCCATCAATTTATATAGTTAAGAGTTTCTGTATTGGCCCACACTTCTCTCCGAGTTGTCGTCCTATTCAGACCACTGTGGTGGGAGGTACAGAGGAGAGGAGTACTGGTTCCACAAGTTCATAGCTGACAGGTGTCACAGGCTCAACCTTTTCCTCATGAAGTTGAAGTTTCCAAAGAGTTGTGGTCAATGGAGTTAAAT